TGAACCCCCCGGCCTTGAGGGGCAAGAAACCCATTTGGGGGGGGTTTTATTTTTTTCAGTGGGAAGGGAACCCCCGGGGGGGGGGGGGGGGCGATCATTCGCTTCGCGCTAGCAACGCCGTGTGAAGTCAATGGCGGTGGAGATGGCATGGTCGCAACTGGCATTGCCGGTGGTGTGTGAACGGGGGTGAGTCTTGTCACGATACGCCAATGGGGGCAAGGTGTTCGAAAGTGGAAGGCGGTAGAATAGGCGTCGTCGTTGCCGCCGCCTACTTGGTGCGGAATCACCGTCCCGAACCGGCAGCCGAGTGTGTCAGGGCGTGCAGTGCGTTGGACTTGGCGACAAACAACGGGTCGGCATTTCTTCTATCTGCAACGTGGGTCGCGTGGGTCGCATGCGATTGGAGCTATGGAACACTGACCGTTTGACACCTCCGCACAGCTGCCTCGTGCACATTTTACACCCTGACGAGGTTATTTCAAACCTCTCGCCCGAGTGACCAAATTCCTCAGAGCCCCTACCCCGCGGCCCTTCCAGATGTAGTGCACTTCATACCAAGTGGGATGATCACGGTCAAAAGTCGCAACGAATGCCTCGGAGAGACCTTTGCCGACTTCACGCACGTAACCATGTGGCAAGAGAAGCAACACCAACCGCAGCAATCAAAACCGATGACCACGTCTCATGGCCATGGCGCCATATAGTCGGGTGGCTTCATTACGCAGGTTACACCAGTTCGGGTGCCGCCGCTATATAATATTGCGGGTGAAAAACGGACAGGCACAGATGGAGTAACCAACATGGTCCACCAAATCGAGTGCTCGCCGTAGTTCCGCAGGTGAAACCGCTCGGCACACACACCAGCACAATAGAGGGGCACTCGACTGTACACCATACATACCTCGAGGGGTCCTGCGTCCACGACGAAGTCTACGGCGTGCCCCCACGCCGCCTCGATCGCGGCAGGGTCCCCAGACACAGTGGCTTCGTCGTCACCCCAGGCACCTCGTGACGCTCTGTCTCCCTCAACGTCATCATCGTCATCGTCAATGTCGTAGTCGTGCTCCGAGGCGCCTCCCTCTCCCCAAGCGCCCTCGCCCGGGACCCCCGACGGTACACTGCCGCATAGCAGTGGCCTGGTAGTGGGAGGTGAGGGGGGTGTACTTATAGTCGTGCATGCCGTAGTCGTTAGACCATTGACCTCGCATCCCTACAAAGCCGGGACGGAGCACGCCGGGTTCTCACCGGACCAGGGGGGGGGGGGGGAAGGGGGATGGTCAAAAATCATCAAAAGTTTGCCAATGACAGTCGGAAAATGGTGTGGAAAAAAAAGGGGGGGGGGGGGGCG